TGAGATTAATTACTATCCACGAATGTGGAAAAAAAAAATTATATTGTTGATTCATTTTTAAAAAATACTTATTTAATTTCTTTTAATAAAAAGAGTACTATTATATGGTGACATTCATCATAGGTACTCCAATATAAATTTCTATATATTAGAAAGAGAGAGTTTCAACATGTCGGTGACATTAGATGAAAGTTTAAGGGTATAGTAGTATTTTCCTAGATCAATTTATTTCAAAGGAATTGTGTTTTCTGCTTTATTCTTTAGACCACATCAACAGATCTACCATAATTTTCTGTTAAATTACAATTAATGCCATCCACTGAAATATCATTAATTGTGATTGGGACCCATTGTACTACACTTGTGAAGCTGTGGTCATTAATGGTGATTGGGACCCATTGAACTACACAGCAATTTGTTCCCTCAACTTTTGCCTTATTTATTTTTGGGATAATACATATATTTGACTGGATAATACATATATTTGACCTTAAACTTGGCTTCAAATTTTAACTTTGACCTCCAACTTTCATAGTGCACAAACAAGCACTTTAACTATCCAATCTTTTAATAAATAAACACGCGATTTTTGGAGCCAAGAGCGTGAAATGCAAACGCTGCCACGTGTATTAGTGAGCCACTCAATGGCTGCCAACTAATTAAACACTTTACACGTCCATTTTAGAACTAAAAAAAAAAAAAATTAATTAAGGATAGAGTTGTCATTTCAACATTTTTTTCACTGTTGTGTGCCTCAAAAATTACTTCTCACTCGCGCAAAATGCGTGCACATCACGCGTTTTGCCAGGTAAGACACGCGTGTTTATTTATTAAAAGGTTGGATAGTTAAAGTGTCTATTTGTGCACTTTGAAAGTTGGAGGTCAAAGTTAAAATTTGAAGCCAAGTTTAAGGTCTAATATATGTATTATGCCTTTATTTTTTGGGCTAACCCATCGGTGGCCCTCTAAATTTGGCACCAACTTTTACTTAGGCACCTCAAGTGGGCGATGTTCATTTTAAACACCTTATGTAGAGTCTCGCTGTGTCATTTTGACATTTTTTGCTGACTAAGCACAATACGTGTGCTACACGAATTTTGAGCGTGTCAGAAAACTGTTTTTTGTAAATATTCTGATTTTTTTTGTAAATATTTTCTTCTCCTTCTTCTTCCTTGCTTTCTCCCTTCCATCTTCCCCACCTTCTACCATCCTCCATCACCACACAACTTTTTAAAATCTTTGATTCTTCCATCTTCTTTGAAAATCGAATTTGCATCTTGATTCATAGTCAAAAAACAAAATCGATTTCAAGGGAACAAAAAAAGAAATCAACTTCTTTCAAATGTAAAAACTAATTTACATTCTTACCTTCTCCATTGAAAATTAAATTGATTTCAAGGAATAAAAAAGAAATAAAGAACAATCTCCAATGAAAAAAAAGAAATATATTTTACATATCCTTCATTGTAAATCCCAATCGTAGTAGCACAAGAAATCATCTTCTTTTAAATGTCATATAAAAACTTTTCGATTTGGTATGATTTCCCTTATTCTCCAAAACGTATTTTACTTTGTAAACTAACATATGTTCTTGCCTTTTTGATGGAGAAGAACAGATGAAGGGGAAGGAGGCGCAAGAAGAAGAAGAAAAGAGGTGGGGGCATGGGGTTTGAGATCTGGAAGAAAGAAAAAAAGAAAGTAAAATTGAGATTTTTAAAAATAAAATAAAATTTCCACGTGTCACATACCAATTCGTTTATTTTTCCACATAAGAGGCGTCTGGATGTACGCACTTAAAATGCGGTTTTGAAAATATAAAAAGTGTCAAAATGACACAACGAAACCCTACATGAGGTGTCTAAAATGAACATTGCCCACTTGAGGTGCCTAAGTGAAAGTTGGTGCCAAGTTTAGGGGGCCACCGATGGGTTAGCCC